AGCGCGAGCGGTTGGTGAGTCAGTTAACACACGTGTCGACAGAGGAGGACCTTGTGGGCGGTTGACAGCGATTGTTGTAACCGACCAGATGACGGTTAAAACCGTTTCTTTAAGGCACTATTTAAAGATATGGATCATTCCTGGAAAAATCATCTTCAATCGACATCAAATTCACAGTGAATTGCTTTTGGGGATCACCATTTATTTTTCCAGTCTGTAGTAGTTATTGTTCCTAGTTTATTTATGTATCGTACGGTGTCTAGAGATTCTTAATCTCAGGCATATATTTTATCAAATTCGAAGATAATTTCTATTTTCGGATTTTACTTTTTATTGTTAAAAATCGGCATCAACAATTGGCGACCACAGTGGGAGAAAGGCAAGATTGCTGATCCTACGTCAAGAATTTCATACGACTAAGGTCCGGCCGAATAATCAAAATGATCCATACGGCAGGTTCACAACCTCAAGCATCTTCAACACCGGCGGGAGAAACAATTTCACCACCTGCTATCCCGAATGCAGGGGAAGCACCACAAGTACCTACCGATTGGGTGTCTTATGTTCAACAATTGAACAATCAGCAAATTTTGGTCATGCAAAACATGTTGCGTGAGCAGCAAAACCTCATGTTGCATGAGCAACAAAATCTAATGCAGAACATGTTGGATCAGGCGTTCTCTAAAGTCACACTACATTCAAACATGCCTCCAGCCTTGTCACCTTCTCGCTTTCAGGCAGCTTTTCTAGGATCAACGTTTGCAGGGCCATCATACGTTGATAGTACGTTTCCAAGCGCCACAACTTTCAACCGAACAGATAGGGGGAAGACTCTTCTAACTTTCCCAGATAATGTTGCTTTGGGACCAAGAGTTGATAATACTCGGCCCAATATCGTAAGGGAAGAGAGGTTGGGGGGACAGGTTTATAATCCCATCCCAGCCAAGCCAACCGTCCCCAGAGAAGAGAGGTTGGGAGGACAGGCGCATAATCCCATCTCAGCCGAGCCAACCGTCCCCAGAGAAGAGAGGTTAGGGAGACAGACCCATAATCTCATTCCTGTGTTTGATCCTATTCCACCTAGAGTGGATCCGGAAGACATCGCTCAAGTTTTGCGAGTGCATTTCGGAATGAATCCGCAAACGGTGAATAGGCCGGCATATCAGAGACCTTTTCCAGAAAGGATCATTAACGATTTTCCTCTCCCAAGGAATTATCGACCGCCAGACTTTCATGCTTTCTCAGGAAAAGACGGATCCTCCACCGTAGAGCATGTGGGTCGGTTCACAGTACAGTTATGAGAAGTCGGTAATAACCCTTTTTATAAACTGCAACTATTTGGTTTGTCTCTTACCAGGACAACTTTTTCCTGATTTGTAAATCTGCCACCTGGGCAAATACAAACCTGGGAAGGTTTAGAGATGGCATTCCATGCTAGATTCTTCAACCCTTTACCAGCCGTCTCTCTTTCCGATTTGTTGGAAATGAAACAATGTCCAGAAGAGTCAGCCTCATAGTTCATCGAAAAGACACGTCTAATGAAGGGACGTTGCCGGACAGTCATTGAGGAGAGCGAGATGACCAACCTGGTGGTCAGGAATATGCATACACGACTGCGGAAAGCTTTAACGGCCCACGACGTTCAAGATCTGGCCAGTTTAGCATCCAAGGATAGGAGGTTAGAATCCTTTTTTAGAGAGATGTATGCACCAGACAACGAACAAGGGGAAGGCGCTGAAGAAATGGTGGCTGAAATTATAGTGCGAGATCGATCAACGCGCAGGCTACCACCAGTCCGCGATAAATGGAGGTCGGATCAGAGGCTGACATGACCTCGGATGATGCAGGCCGGATCTGAGGCTGACATGGCCTCGGATGATGGCCTGCAACCTCCTAAACATCACGAGAAGTGACACTTAGGAGTTGGGCGAGATGAGGCAAGTTGTTACGTACAAATAATAATAATAATAATGACAGTAGGATTCTGGATAGGTCTGAATATAAGCCAAACAGCCGATACAGAGGTCGGACAAGATGAAGTCGGGCAAAGAAAGAAGTATCGGCGGACACGGAGGTCGGACAGGATAAGGTCGGGCAAAGAAGAAGTATCGGCAGACACGGAGGTCGGACAAGAGAGTAAGTCGGGCGAAGAAGGATGAGACGGTCGATACGGAGGTCGGTCGAAAGAGGAAGTCAGACGAAGAAGGATGAGACGGCCGATGCGGAGGTCGGTCAAAAAGAGATCGGACGAAAGGAAAGGTCTGTTAATTGGTCGAGCGAATAAAGGGTCTGTTGGTTGGTCGCTTAATTAAGCGACCTTTTAATCGCCTGATCGATTGGCCGGTCACTTGGTCAAAATAGTAGTTCAGTCGCTTGAAAGGGCGGTCAGTTGGTCGCTTGATTGGGCAACCAATGAATCGTCTGGACGAATGGTTGTTCAGCCGATTGAAGGGACCAGAGGGTGGTCGCTTGATGTGGCGACCAGTGAGTTGTTTGGTCTAGCGACCAATTAGTATCTGGATTGGTCGGTTGGTCAATCGTTGGGTTATGCGGTAGGTTCAGTCGGTCGGCCTGCAGTCTGTCTAAAGTACGCTGGGCGTTTGAGTAGTCGTTCGGGATTAGCCGTCCATTTAAGGCGGTAAGGTGTTCAGAGGCGGTCGGCCGAGTCAGTTGAATGTTGTAATTGGCGCGAGTGGTTGGTGAGTCGGTTAACACACGTGTCGACAGAGGAGGACCTTGTGGGCGGTTGACAACGGTTGCTGTAATCGACCTGATGACGGTTCAAACCGTTTCTTTAAGGGACTATTTAAAGATCTGGATCATTACTGGAAAAACCATCTTCAATCGACATCAAATTCAAGTGAATTGCTTTTGGGGATCACCACTTTACTTTTTCAGTCTGTTGTTTTTATTTTTCTTATTTTACTTATGTATCCTACAGTGGCTATGGATTCCTAATCTCAGACATTTATTTTATCAAGTTCGAAGATAATTTCTATTTTATGATTTTACTTTTTATTGTTGAAAATCAGCATCAACATAATGATTTTTTCTTCTTTTTTTTCCGAGACAATTATCAATATATATAATTTATCATTTTACAAAAGTCAATATTTAGTATAAAATATTAGTATTTTTTTATTTCTTATAGTTCACGTAAAAAAAATAAAAAATAAAAACTCTAAACAAACAAACCCAGATAATGGCCCTCACACCAAACAAATATATTATTCGAAAAAATTTTGAATTAGAATAATTGTATAATATAATATAAATAAGTGTTGATGCACTATTTTGAATGTAAAATTGATTTTCAATACTCCCTCCGTTTTGCCGGAATGTATATATATTTTTATTTTGGGTTGTCCAATTACAAATTAATTATTTTATTAAATACTCTACATTTTTTTCATAAATACTTATACTTTACCATTACACAAAATAATTAAAATTTCTTATACTTTACACTAAAAAATAAATAAATAAATAAATAAATAAATAAAACTCACATCAAAACTCAACCAATAAACTTGAAAACTAAGGGTTGTATTCAATTGAGATTTTAATGGATTTTAAAAAGTCTATGGATTTAGAAAATCCACAGTCTCTACGTTGAGTTTGATGGATTTTAGTAATTGATTAAGATGGATTTCTTTTGCTTGAATTCTTTACGTATTTATATGGATTTTGTAGGATTGTAAAATAAATTTTTTTATGAATATATATTAATTATATAAATTTATATCAAACAAAAAATTTTATAAATATAATAAATAATTATTAATAAAATAATATTTAATATTAATAAAAAATATATAAATATTAATAATGTAGAAATATTGTAACATCTGTAATACTACTATATTTTAAATTATTAATTTTAATTTTATAATTTTAGTATTATATTATCATTCAATATATCAAATTAATTTTATATTTATTTATTTATTAGTTATTATTATTATTTATATAACATTTTTACGTAAAAAGTAAATACGTATATAAATAAAATAAAAAAATATAATTTACGATTTTTGAAAAAATATTAAAATAAATAAATAAATATAAATTAAAGATTCAACAAAAAATATATATTTAAATATCTATTTCACCGTTCTCTTAATGATAATATAATGTATTCGATGATTGAAAAGAAAAGACGAAAGAAAAGACGACAGTAATACATATTTATTGTGATAATAATATTTTTTAAAATTATATTTAGAATATAAAAATATATATTTAAAAAAAATTCATAATAATTTGCTAATATATTTTAGTTCTAATAAATATTATCATATTATTGATAGTATATACAACAACAACAACAATAATAATAATAATAATAATAATAATAATAATAATAATTTTCAAGAGAGATTCTTTTTTATACAGAATTTTCGCAATTTTTCATTAAAATTCATAAACTTTGAATTGAATGTCTCATTTATGTTGAATACCTAGACATTTTAAAAGAAAGAATACACTCAAATTTTCAAAAGTCCAATAAAATTCAACAAAATCTATATTGAATACATCCTTAAGTCTCACACCAAAACAAATATATTATTTTATTTTATTTTTTTAAAAAACATATTAAATAAATAATTAAAAAAAAAAAAAAAAAAGAGAGAAAAAAAACTGTGATATGATACGATTCTCATATCAACGAATCATGTGATGCTATGTGTGTGTTATTTTTTTTAGTTTAATAAAATTTTATTTTATAATTTAGTATAAGGTTTAATCTTTGTCTGATGACCGATTTTCTCTACCCAACAACGATAGACTCTCAGAAAGGGAGAGAGATTATCGAACTATCACTGGCCTACCATTCTAAGGTAGATTTCTTTTCTTTATTTCAATTTGTTGTTCCATGCAATTTAATTATAATTTTCTTTTAATAAAAATAAAAAATAAAGCACACACGACTTTGTAGGTATTGGGAGAGTAGGGAAGATGGACAGCTAAACGTGAGTTTTTATATATATATAGTATATATCTATATATAGGATAGGATGGCGTGACAAAAAAGACGACCTAACGGAAGCCCCGTCCGACTCCGACAGTCAAAACGGTTTCTTCGATCGAGGAGGTACGAAGGTCAGGAAGAAGAGATTCCGTGTGAGAAATGGATAGATTTGCTGCTTTGAAGACGGCGGTGGAGACGGCGGAGCTGGTGGATGCGCACGCGCACAATATAGTCGCGGCGGACTCCACCTTCCCGTTCCTGAACTGCTTCTCCGAGGCCAGCGGCGACGCCTTGTCCAGTGCAATCCATACCATTACTTTCAAGGTGAGAAATTGACGACTTTGATTATTCCAAACATGAGCGTTTTTTGTTTTTGATTTTCTGGTGTGCTTTAGAATAGTGCGATCGTCTACATAATGTAGTTAGACTTAGATATGATCCGAATTGGGGGGAAGTTTTTTCTGCTAATTGGCTTTTGAAGGCATTTTATGTATCTGCAGTTGAAAGATATTTGTTGCTAGTAGCTACTTGAAGAAGACGATATGAGATTCAGTTTTCTACAATTTTCATGTCAAACTCATCCAAGTTTTTTGTTACTCTCATTTTTCCTGTGCAAATTCTTTCACGACTGAGATGTTGACAGAATTTTTTATAATAGGATCATTATCCCTCTATCTTCTACTTTTTTTTTTTTTGTAGAGAAGTATTAGGGAAATCGCAAAACTTTATGGCTCAGACTCTTCATTGGATGCCGTTCAAGAATATCGTTCCAGATCTGGAGTGGAAGAAATCACTGAAAAGTGCTTTAAATCTGCTAGAATCTCTGCCTTATTAATTGATGATGGACTTGACTTAGACAAGAAATATGAGATCGGGTGGCACAATGCATTTGCACCATTTATTGGTAGAATATTAAGAATTGAACACGTGGCTGAGAGAATTCTTAATAAGGTAAGATATATTATTGTTATTATTATTACTATTATTATTATTATTATTACTACTATTATTATCATTAAACATATAGTGCTCAACTCTGGTTGCATTCAATAGCTTCATATCTTCTCCGATAAAAATAAATAAATAAATAAATAAAAAAGACTTCATATCTTCACCAGTTTGTTTGTTGCTGACTGCTTTGAAGGGTGTCAGAAAGATTACATGTTCAATTGTACTTTCAATTATACATTTACTTTTTACATATCATGATATCGCAATAGTTATGCGAGGGCCTTTTTTATTGTATTTTTTCTTTTTTTTAATATATATATTTTTATTTCCCCCCTCAGTGATGATGTTTTTGTATATTATTTTTCTACCCTCAAACCATTCTTTATGAGTTTTGAAAACGTTCATGGCATCACACAAATGCTTATGATTGTTGTTTATCAAGTATACCAGTTTTACCATTACAGTCGAACCATGATATTTATTGCATCCTTTAATTGATGATTAGGATACACCTGGTGGAACAACATGGACACTGGAGCTGTTTGCAGAATTATTCACTGATAGCTTGAATTCATATCCTTTGAATTTTTAGAATTTTTTAAGTGCATTTTTCTGGCAAAAGTATACATGGGATATATTTCAGGTTCTATTTGTATTTCCTTATCGATCATTACGCATATTGATAAAATCGTTGGCTTCAAAAGTATAGCCGCATACCGCAGTGGACTTGAAATTAACCCAAGTGTTTCAAAAAAGGATGCTGAGGACGGCCTCAATGAAGTTTTAAGAGGTTTGTATTGCAAAACTGAATATATATATATGTTATTACCCACTGTAGTGCAGTGTTATGATGATCTCCATTTCTAGCTGGAAAGCCTTTCCGCATCACAAATAAAAGCTTTATTGATTTCATCTTCATCCACGCAATGGAGGTTGCTCAACACTTAAACTTGCCAATGCAGATACACACAGGGTAAGGGGGAAGTTTCCTTATTTTGTATAATTTGTGTGGTTTCTACGCTCATATCTGTCTGGTTTATCAAATGGAGGTCCACCTAGAATACTTTTCTGATACCTTAATAAATGTTTCAAGTAAATAATTTTCTTTCTTTGTGATATGTCTCAATTCTGTCAATGCATTGTGCATTCTATGCCCTTGCTCAATGCTTTTTAGTAGTGAAAAACAGGGATTACTGATAGTGATTGTTCTCTGTTAGTTTTGGAGACAAAGATCTGGATTTAAGACTGTCCAACCCCCTTCTTCTTCGTAATCTTCTTGAGGATACTAGATTCAGTAAGAGTCGAATTGTTCTGTTACATGCTTCATATCCATTTTCCAAGGAAGCATCATATTTGGCCTCTGTTTATCCCCAGGTGGGTTTTGGAAGCCATTATTGTTTCTGTCTGCACATAAGTTTTTTATTTTTCAGTATAATCATTCATTTATCCTATGACGTGTTTTATTACAGGTCTATCTAGACTTTGGGCTGGCAGTGCCTAAACTTAGCTTTCATGGGATGATATCCTCCATGAAAGAGCTTTTGGATTTAGCACCAATGAATAAGGTGAATATTATAGACTTTTGCACTATTGTTAGTGTTAAGAAGGGATATGAGATTCATCCTAAAACCAATTGGTATTAAGTAAAGTGGCCCTTTATAAGTAAGTGAGAACAATATTCAACACTCCCCCTCTAGATGATAATCTCAAAATCCTAATCAAGATTAATATTCAAGAAGGACAGGGAGGAGCGTTGAATATTGTCCTATATAAGAAAAATGTACGAACTCTCTTTACTTATATGAGTGAAGGGCTACTCTACTTAATACCAATTGGTTTTAAGTTGAAATTTTGGAACCCTTTTCGACCGTTAGCTTATGACTTATAGTATGGGAATGATCCTGGAAAAAAAACAAAAAAGAAAAGTCATTTTATGATTTTTTTAAAAAATATTTAGGAAATAAAGTGATATCCTCCAGGCTCTTCCTTAAGTTTGCCTGCTATATATATATATATATATATATTCTCTCACCTGAAATATGCATATTGCAATTGGCAGGTGATGTTCAGTAGTGATGGTGTTGCATTTCCGGAGAGCTTCTACCTAGGTTAGGTGATACTTTTGTGTTGTCAAAAGATAAGTAACATGTTAATTATCATTAGCTTAGTTTTTACAGTATAAATTTACGACGTTTCCGAAAGTATATTGGTTTTCAGTATGTATTAAAATGTTGCATGGTATTATTATTATGGATGAATAGAAAAACATGTATTCCATGCTGATTTAAAATTTTAAAATCCTAGCTCATGTAAGGAGATGACTTTAGATATTTAGTGAAAACTTGGGATGATAAGGAAGTCAACTTTTATTGTGTCTCAGGATTCTACTTTCACTTGATGATTGTCTCTATATTTTATTCAAGTCTTTCTAAAAGCATCTGTCGAATTTCATGGTATATGCAAATCCAACTTGTAGGAGGACCATGAGTTAAAAACCTATGGCCTCAAAACGCACAGCATTTATTTGGACATAACCCTTAAGAACTTTATCAGTATATTACCGTATGCTAGCTTCTAGTGACAATCAATTTGAAAGTTGAATCATTAAATGATGACACCATCATTTCTGGCAATCTCAAATTGTTCGATTGTTTAATTGTAGTTTTGACTTTGACGGACCTTGAACTTATAAATACCACCCTATTGATTAAAAGATGGTTTGTTTGAACAAGCTGCAATTCTTTATAAGAGTAATACGTTTAATTGTTTGATCCTACGAAAGCATGTCAAGGAAAAGATAAGAGGTCAGCTTTCTGAGCTCATGAAATGCAAGTCTAGGTTACTCTTACAATGATGATCTCAGCAGGAAACTATCAGTTTCTATCCTTTAGGCAGAATTAGATATTTCTAACAGTTATCACTGGAACCTTGGAAGGAGATTCAGCCAATAGTAAAAACAATTGAATAATGGAAGCATTACATAGATACATTTCAATTTTGATTCCATCTGAACCTTTTTATATAAAAGAAAATGTTAATTAAGAAAGAGTCAGAATATGATTCCTTCAGAAGTATGCTAGATTATATTATCATTCTTGGCATTCTCTCCAGGAGTAGTTATTAACCAATGCTAATGATCCGAACTCAAAAAAAATTGTAGATAAATTCATTTTGAAGCACTTCCGTTATGTTCTTTTCAGCTATATTTCCATATTAGTATCTTAAACGGAAATGATACATCTCAGATGCAAATTACCGAAAATTTTAGTTCATTTTTATACTTGCAAAGTTCCCTTTAAGATGGTCACTTGAGGAATTTTCTTGCTGAATCTGGTTTCTGAACTGGGCATTACCAACTTAACAGGTGCCAAGAAAGCTCGTGAGGTTGTATTTGCTGTTCTTCGAGATGCATGCATTGATGGAGATCTTTCAATTCCTGAAGCTTTGCAAACTGCTAAAGACATATTTTCTGATAATGCAAGGGAGTTATACAAAATCAAGGCTGTTGGACGATCTTCCGATTCTAATATATATTCATTTCCCATCTCTTTGAATCATGATGCAAATGCTTCTGTTGATGGTATTGCATTTGTTCGTATTATTTGGATTGATGCTTCTGGACAGCATAGGTGCCGTGTAAGTGTTCTTTTCTAATTTGTTGAGTCAAGCTATACTTTTCTTTACTCTAGTTCAATATATAAAAATATATATCTTCTGATCGAAGAGTTATATAGCATAGTACCATATAATATTAGTTGGTTCCAGAGGTCTATCTCTATCCTTTATCAGTATAGTTAGTTTTACATTTACGAAGATAGAGAATATACTTGTTCCATCCCTTTTTAACGCTCTCTAACTCCTTTGCTCCAGTGATAGGAAAGTCAATTCGACAATTATATATATTTTTTAGAAAGAAAGGAAGATATTAAAAACAGAGGAAGATACCGAGGTATTGCCTAAGGAAACATAAGGTCTCTAATATAGAACTAACTGAAAGACACCTTGAAGACTAGAAATATATATAAAAGTATAAATCTTTTAACGCTAGTTCAATATATAAAAATATATATCTTCTGATCGAAGAGTTATATAGCATATTACCATATTATATTAGTTGGTTCCAGAAGTCTATCTACTATCCTTTATCAGTATAGTTAGTTTTACATTTAGGAAGATAGAGAATATACTTGTTCCATCACTTTTTAACGCTCTCTAACTCCTATGCTCCAGTGATAGGAAAGTCAATTTGACATATATATGTATATATATATATATATTAGAAAGAAAGGGAGATATTAAAAACAGAGGAAGATACCGAGGTACTGCCTAAGGAAACATAAGGTCTCTAATATAGAACTAACTGAAAGACACCTAGGGTGTGTTTGGTTGGGGGTTTGGATTTTGAGTTGGGATTTGAATAGTAAAAATTTTAAATTGGAATGGTCGTATGATGTGATATAAATAGGTGTTGATGTGATGTTTTTGATGTAAAATTGATTTTTAGTATTATATAAAAAATGAAAAATAGATGTTTGATTTGATGTTTTTGGTGAGAAAAAATTGAATGAATAGTAGGATTTTTTGTAAAATCCAACAAACGAACACACCCCTGGAAGACTAGAAAGAAAATGAAACACTTGGTCGGACCGAGACTTATCCAGACTGAGATATCTAGTTTTCCTCTTGCACCATGTTCGATCAAGAGATCTGTCATTCCATTTGTGCTTCTTAAGACATGTTGAAAGGTGATGAAGGGGCCTATGGGAATGAAGTAGTGGAACTTGTTGATGTTTGACTTCAGTTTCCAAGGAGGTAAGGTGCCATGAATCCAGGCCAGTGCATTTAATGAGTTACACTTGACAATAATTTGGGGCGAAGGGCCAGTCTGCTCCATAACAACATATTCAGGGACTTCTGATCTGCAACATTAGAGCCTGCAGTTCCAATATGATTAGATAGAATGAATAAAATATTGCCAACATGATCCCAGATGATAACTATATTGTTGATGTGTAGAGTTTAAGCTAAATGGTTCCGTTCTATTACTTAGAAACAGTTGTTACCAACTTTGGATGTTTATCTTGCTAGAAGTGTATTTGAATCTATAATTGATGGTTTGGCTATATTTGTCAGGTGGTTCCTCAGAAACGTTTTTACACCCTTGTTATGAAGAATGGAATTGGACTAACATGTGCGTCAATGGGGATGACCTCCTATGCTGATGGTCCTGCTGACGAAACTAATCTTAGTGGAGTGGGTGAAATCAGACTTATTCCTGATCTATCAACTAGAAATATAATCCCTTGGTAAGAAATTTCTTAAAGAGATTGCATCAACATTGACATGTGGCATATATCATTCATTTTTTTATTTTATTTCACCTGATTTTGGCTTTTTATCGTCTTCATCATCTACATTCAAAAAACAAGAGCTTGGCATGATTAAATCAGTATTGATGAAAGTGCATGGTGCACCCACTTTCACCACAAAACAAGTAAATCTGTAACAGGCACATAATATATGTAGTTGGTGCTTGGGTTTGGTCTATTAACTTTTGCCAATAACCATTATGCGGTTTTGTGATACTTGCACACATTGTTAATATCTGATTTCTAATTAAAATGATAAACTTGGGAGCCAACTTGTCTGTTGCATCAATGTTTACTGGTGAGAGTCCACATCTAGAATACTTTAACATAGTCAAGGCTGTATCAGGATATGGATAAATTTTTAGTTACCAAAACCCAATGGCCAAGGGAGTGATTTTATAAGGGATATATGAAAGAACAGTGCAAGAAAGGCTGGGACATTGAATCTGATTACATATAGGCTCTCAAAATCTACTTACTTTGGTGTTTGCAGACCTAGTATATTCTACTCAATTTTGTGATGGAAGGACTTTTGGCCCTAAATCAGGTTTAGTTGAAGTCACTTCTTTGTTATTTTGCTTACACTCAGCTTTTGCAAATTCTAACTCGCTAGGAATAGAACAAGAACAACAGTGTGTTCCCCAATTATCCTTAATCAAACGGATAATTCACTAATATTTTATTTCATCCATAATCCCCCAAAAGTACTAAGGTAGGGATTTAAATACTCTACTAAGCAATTCCAAATCCAGAAATAGAATAAATGACAATAAATTGAAATTAAAGACAGTAAATTAAAATTAAAGCCAATAAATTAGAATTTGAAATTTGAATTTCAAATAAACTTAACCCACGGAAGGTGGGTTCATGCCCGTCTCCGTCGATGGTAAACTTGCAAGGGCCGACCCATTGCACCACATCAATTCGATCCCCCTTGGAAATAACCTTGTCTTCAAGGTTGAAGTTTCGGAACTATCCTTGGAAGTCTAGATGAGATATCCAAGTGGCCTCCTCGAGAACTTGCCCATTTCACTTAACCAACAACTGTTTAACCGTGACCCCATCCTCTTGAACTACTCACTGCGCTAACACCTCTTCGGGCTGAAACACTAGCCCTATGGGCAATTTCAAACTTGGCGGTAGATTGCCTACGACACGTTTAAGTTGAGACACGTGGAACACCAAGTGAATGTGGCTAGATGCTGGTAGCGCCAAGCGATACGCAGCTTGTCCCACGCGCTCCTCCACTAAAAACGGACCATAAAAACTAGGGGGGTGAGCTTATGATGAGATTTTCCAACTACTGAATGTTGGCAATGTAGACAAACTTTCAAAAAAACCTTATCCCCCCACTTGATAATCCATCCCATGACGTCGCTGTTTAACAAATTTAGTCATGCGTTGCTGCTCTCTCCAAGGACCCTCGCAGTCGGCGCAACATCACATCTCTACTGCTCAAAGCATCAACTACTGCGGCAACCCAACATTCACCTGGAAGAAACCGTCGAATCATTTGAGGGACTCTACCATAGACAACCTCAAATGGAGTAATCCGAGCTGCAGTCTAGAAGGTTGTATTGTACCAATACTCCGCCTATGAAAGCCAACGTTGCGAATGCGTCGGTGGCTCACACACGAAACAACGCAAGTAAGTCTCTAAAACCCAGTTCAATACCTCCATCTAGCCATCTATTTTCGGATGATAAGCCAGCACCAAACGTCCTTTGTATAATAGTCGCCCCCCATCAACTCAAAACCCGGATGGCACGTCGGATTCACTTCTAGTGCTTTTCGGATTTCTTGTAAATACGGGTCTTGCATTTGTTCCTTGCATGCATCCTTTAACCCCAACCATTCAGGCCCGCTGACGATGGTGAAGGATGTTTCCTCCGCACTTCTCAAAAGAGCATCTCCCGCCGCATTAGAAGCCCAGTCTTGTATTCAATAACAAAATCATACCCAAACAATTTCACTACCCAAACCTGTTGCGATGGAGTCGCAATACGCTGGGTAAGCAGATGTTTCAAACTTCGATGATCTGTCCACACCACAAAACGTCATCCGATCAAGTAGGGCCGCCAATGCTACACGGCTAAAGCTAACCCATCATCTCACGCTCATAAGCCGATCTAGACAGGGTACGATCTGCCAACGACTTACTATAATAAGCAATGGGTAGCCTCTTATGCATGAGTACGGCCCCTATACCCACACCCGAAGCGTCACATTCCACGACGAACGGACGACCAAACCGAGGCATCGTCAGTACTGGAGCCTCAGTCAAGGCCTTCTTCAACTGCTCAAAGGCCTTTTCTGCCGCAGAAGTCCATACAAAAACGGCAAAGGCTTCTTTATTCAAAAGGGTCGTGAGGGGCCGAACAATAAGACCATATTCCCTCACAAACCTGCGATAATAATCGGTAAGACCTAAAAATCCCCGAACCTCTCGTACAGATTAGGGTCACGGCCAGCCGACAACTGCGCTCACCTTTGCAGGATCCATCGCTACTCCGGCACTTGAGATGACATGCCCCGAATATTCGATTTCAAGGCAACCAAATGCATATTTTTTCTTGTTGGCCCGAAACTGATGCGTGGCTAAAATGTGAAGGACTACTCTCAACTGTGCGTGACGTTCTTCCCACGATCTACTATATATCAAGATATCATCGAAGAAGACTAGTACGAACTTGCTTAAGTACGGCCTAAACAATTCGTTCATAATTGATTGGAAGGTTACCGGTGCATTCGTCAATCCGAATGGCATAACGAGGAACTCATAATGCCCACTATGCGTCCGAAACGCCGTTTTATGGATATCCGAGTCATTTATTCTGATCTAATGATATCCCGAGTGCAAGTCAATCTTTGAAAAAACTACCGCATCCACCAATTCATCCGACATTATCTGAATTACTGGAATTGGGTATTTGTCGGGCACCGTAGACTTATTTAATTTCCGGTAGTCCACAAAAAATCTCCTACTACCATATTTCTTTTTTACTAACAAAACTGGGCTCGAAAACGGACTTGAGCTCGATCGGATGATCTCCGCACACATCATCTCTTCCAACAGCTTCTCTATCTCATCCTTTTGGGCGTGCCCATAACGCTAAGGGCGGACCAATACTGGCTTCGCACCCGGGGCTAGCTTAATTTGGTGGTCCGTCGCGCAGGCTCGGAGGGAAACCCCTTGGTTCCTCGAACACCACCGTATGCTATGAAAGCACCTCGTTTAATGCCCCTGTATGTTCCTCAGTCAATTTTGTCGGCGCTCCCTCTAGGAGGATTGCCCAAAGTTCGGCCTCCGATGGCTTGACTAGTGTTTTCAGGCTTACCAAATTCCGACACAACGCCAGGTTCCCCCTTAGCTCCACTCGACTGTTAGTTCCCTTGAAGCTCATGGAAAGCTCCGGCCAATTATGGACAATTTCTCCAAGTGTGGCAAGCCACGCAATACCTAAGATAACGTCCAAACTCGCTAAGGGAAACACGTAGTAGTCCACAACCGCCTCACACCTCGGTAGTCCGATGGCTGAATTCCGACACACCCCTTCAGATTCCTTCCGGCGGCCATTTCCCATTTGTACCCCGAATTTCCCGGTTGGTTATCTCTGTGCCTTGAATTATGCCCCGTAGCCGCATCGTGCGAGGACTAAATACCCCCGTCATCGAATACACTGGCAAGTCCCCCAACTCTTTTTTCAGTTCCTCCTCGCTTCCCTTTAGGCCGGTAACCTCATAATATTCGTGCGGTTGGAGAGCTAACTCTTCGTCGTCTTCAACGATTAATACCCGTAGTTGCTTTAGGGGGCAATCATGGCCCGGGGGGAGGTTTTTTGTAACAAAAACACAATCGTTTTGCACGTAGTTCCTTCAATACTTTGGGTCGAAGTCGGGTGAATCGGGAACGCGCCGTAGACTGTCCGGATGACCAGCCTTTAGGCCACTACTACTCACATTACTCATATATCCAGAGATTGGACTGCCGCCCGATGATCGAGAAAACCCCCATGACTGGTTTCCGAAAGTACCAACTGATTGGCTCCCTCCCTTATCATTCTGCAAACTAAGTTATCTTCGATGTCCCTCGACAACTTCATTGAAGTCTCCAAATCAGTGAGTCGTAGTAAACGAAGCGAGCCCCGAATTGAACCCTTTAGGCCACTCATAAAATACCCTAGATAGTGCACCTGCAACAATCCCGGAACCTGACTTGCCAACTTAACAAAGAGCGATATATACTCATCCATCGTTCCATATTGCTTCACCTCTGACAATCGCTTAAAACGGTTATCCTTAAAATGCGTGTCGAATTGTGCAACTAGTGCATATGTGAGTTCTTCCCATGACAGCCCCAAGCGATGTGCACGTAGCCATGTCATCCAATACAATGCCGGTCCTTCCATTGCGTCCATCACCATTGCTACCTTCCACTCCGGTGATGTACCGTAAATTTCAATTGTTGTTCAGCCCTTGTCATCCAGCCAATCGGATCATCTCCATCAAATGACGGCAACTGAACCGTCGTCCCACTGTGTGTCATGCGCTCTCCTTCACCCCATGCTCCCGTCGCCCATGCGGTTGTTGCGGCGATGCCACCCGGCTGTGGCATGCTCGCTATGCTCGTCACATCGGCCGCCACCTCCGGCACCCTCCCCCGCACAGGTGTTCCATTCATCGGCTGCATAGCCGGCCGTGAAAGAGATAGTCAAAAGGCTGCCCGGGATGCCGCAATTTCGGCGAGTTGCGCTGCCTACGCATCCAACTTCAGTCCCTGCGCATCTAGCTTCACATGTTGCACATCTATCTTTTCCTTGATTTCATTCTGATCTGACTCCAATTTGTTCAGAAGTTCTCCGTGTGACACAACCATCATGACGGAAACGGATCCGACAGGTCGGACCAATTGTTATGAATAGAACAAGAACAATAGGGTGTTCCCCAATTATCCTTAATCAAACGGATAATTCACCAATATTTATTTCATCCATAATCCCTAAAAGTCTTAAGATAGAGATTTAAATACCTTACTAAGCAATTACAAATCCACAAATACAATAAATTGAAATTAAAGACAATAAATTAAAATTAAAGCCAATAAATTAGAATTTGAAATTTGAATTTCAAATAAACTTAACCCATGGAAGGTGGTGGGTCATGCCCATCTTCGTGGTATACTTGCTAGGGCCGTGTTATGACTTAGGGTTATCGAAGAGAGAATTTATTCGAATCAAAGGAAATAGAGTACCACAAAGGAAAACCAATTCGCTCTGTAACCAAAACTAAAATAATGACGGCCTAACCTATGACCTAGGTGCGCCCTATATATAGGCGGATATATGGGCGAAGCCCAAGACTTATAATCAACAATTAAACCGTAAATAAAATAATAAGAGAAATAATAAATAATAAATAATAAAATAATAATTATCCTAAATGACTACGGTGTTTCTCCCTATTCTAATATAGACCTTGACTTTACCCAACTTCATAACAACTCCATTCCTCTTGAAAACCGCCTTGTCCTCAAGGCGGAGGACAGGAAACTGGAAGCGCAATTCCTCTTCATCAACCCAAGTCGAATCCTTGTACATTGGTCCGCGCCAATGTATCAAAACCTGAGGAATGAGCTTGTCCCCTTTACCATCATGTGCTCGAGCTCCGTGGATCTGACCTCATCTTTTGTCCACCCTTCGACCTTGTCTATCTCTTTGAGCTCGGCCACCCAATTAGTGTCTGGGTACACCACACAAGTTCGAAGGGACTTGCTCACTCACTTATGCAATGGTGTATAAGGCTCTTTACAGCGGTAACAAAGTCATTTAGATTGACATTCGCGATACTCTTCACGATTCAGTTTCCGGAAGGGAACTTGCACGGAGGACTGGTCCAAAGTCACCGAGCGTCCGCCAGTGGAGTTGATGTCCGTGCCTGGTGTATTGCTCCCGATGCCATTCTCAAGACTAAAGGGACCTACCGGAGGTCAAATTTGCGCTCCACTGCTAATGCGCGAACTCGCAAATTGACCAGGCGGTTGTCCAGGCTGTTAATATGTCGTGGCAGAACCAGCATTGAATTCCCACTCAATGCTACGGCTAATTTGGATAACTGAGTCCAAATCTTTGGGGTCTAGTGTCCTCAAACAATTGCGGATGTTCTGTTGCAATCCCCCCATGAAGTATTAGAGGTAATGCTTATCCGTTAAGCCTCGCACCTGTGTCGCCAGTTGTATAAACTCGTTGATATATTGATCAACTCCCTTTTTTTGCCGAAGTGTGGCAAGGCGCTCGTAGGGGCTCCCTACGTAACGATCATCAAAACGAAGTACTAGGGCTCTGGAAAACTCCGCCCAAGTGGTAGTTGGGTGGCGAAAGTGTTGCCATCGAGACCAGTGCAGCGTTGTACCCTCCATGGCGATGCGCGCTAATGCTACCTTGAGTTCTGTTCGGACTTGGTGGAGTTCAAACTGTTGCTCAGCGCGAGCAACCCAACCAATAGGCTCTATCCCGTCAAACGGTGGTAGTCTGACTTCTGAGAGGAGCGGGGTGGCGAAGGTACCATGCTGGGGGGTCAACCCAACCCCCTAACGGTTGAGAATCCGACACGAGTGGATGTTGTGCTATGGGCAGTGATGCTAAGGGCATCGGGAATTGAGTCGGTGGCTGACCCACTGACGCAGTCGCGTCAGCGGCGGCGTTGATGCCGCCGACCGCCGCTTTGATTGCTGCGAGCAACTCATGGAGCAGCGAAACTAGCTGATTCGTGTTCTGTTCTCCCAAAGTCTCGAACTTGGCGGAAAGATCCTGGCGGATCTGGTTTATCTCCTCCTGTATTTCTCCAACGGTTGCTTCCAATAGCTCGAATCGTTATTGTTTGGAGATGGGCATGATTCTGTTAACAGAGGATCCGGCAGGTCGGACCAATTGTTATGACTTAGGGTTATCGAAGAGAGAATTTATTCGAATCAAAGGAAATAGAGTACCACAGAGGAAAACCAATTCGCTCTGTAACCAAAACAAAAATAATAACTACCTAACCTAATATGACCTAGATGCGCCCTATATATAGGCGGGCATATGGGCCAAGCCCAACACTCATAATCAACAATTAAACCGTAAATAAAATAATAAGAAAAATAATAAATAATAAAATAATAATTATCCTAAATGACTACGGTGTTTCTCTCTCTTCTAATATAGACTTTGACTTTACCCAACTCCGTAACAGGCCGATCTTCCTTGCACCACATCATAACTACTCAACCATGTGTCAGGTGCTCGCTAATCAATTTGTAACACTTGAGTACTTGTTCTCACCCCAAACGCTATTTTATTAATCAACTTTGCAGCGTTGCATGAAATCTAATTACTTAACCTATCAGTAACAAATCACCAAATGTTTTGAAGTTGATTATAATGAAGCATATCAGGTGTTAAAATACTTTTAAGTTAATAGTATGCAATAAAACCATTAGTTGACTAATTACATTGTAGAAATATACGAGTTTCTAACACTTAGATAATGTTATTTTCACCTTGTTACAGGGCAAAAGAACAAGAGATGGTCCTGGCCAACATGCACCTTAAACCGGGAATTTCATGGGAGTATTGTCCAAGAGAAACGCTCCGACGAGTTGCAAAAGTTTTGAAAGATGAATTTAACTTGGTATTATCTGGTTTTTTCTGTTTAATTTTTTTAATACTTAGTTTTGAATGACACTGCTAGCCATGCAGGTAATGCATGCTGGCTTCGAGACTGAATTCTATCTCCTTAAGAACGTGCTAGTGTAAGTGAAAACATTGTCTTACTTCTCCATCGTACTTGATTGCCCATGTGTGCTCTATTGTTGCTTGTCATGAACTTTCTCAGGGATGGGAAAGTGAGCTGGGTGCCATTTGATGCAACTTCATACTGCTCCACATCAGCATATGATGCAGCTTTTCCTATCCTCAATGAAGTTGTGGCTTCTCTTCAGACCTTGAATATTGCGGTGGAACAGGTATTCAGTGATTCTTGTGCTAGGCTTTCTGCATGCCAACCCATTAGGACATATCATGTATTACAGTTATTGGTTCTTCATGTACTTATTGTAAATGAGACTGAGACCATCATCTCAAGTTTTTTTTGTAAATATTAGCACAAAAATATAACATGAACTTTATAACAGTAGCTATGAAATCACTAGATGCAGGAAGAACTGACTTTGATTTTAGCATACAGTTTGAATTTATAAATCACTGGTATACAAAATTCAATCTGGTGCATTCCGGTGAAATAGTTTTTGATGTGGATTTATCCAATCGTGATTTATAAGATAGTTTTTTACCCATCTGCGTATCACTTAGACTTAGTTCAGTGCTAGTGTATCACATGTATTGATATTCATGGGACTCTCATTTTTCAAAAGAGGCAACTCTGATTTTACCTTTTCTTCCAATGTGTGTTGTGAATTGCTTCCCATTGAGGGTATGATTTAGGTACAAAGATCTAGGAAGCGAAAATCCAAAGTCCAAACCCAGACCAAAAGAACTACTCTGGCTGAAGTGATTTAGTCCATAGCATGTAATGATAACTTTAAATAGTGTTAATATATCTTGTTTTCAACTGCAGCACTGCATTGCTTAATACTCTAAAAAAGTTAGTTGTGCATCATCATGATCATTCATCTCAAAGGAGCAACAGAACTGACTTCAATCATTATCTACTTTTGGAAAATGTAGTTACATGCAGAATCTGGAGATGGTCAATTTGAAATTGCACTAGGTTATACAGCTTGTGAAAATGCAGCTGACAACTTAGTTTACACACGAGAAGTTATTCGATCTGTGGCCAGAAAACACGGACTATTGGCGACTTTTGTACCTAAGTATGTATCCAGCATTATAAAACTGATTTGTAGCACAATTCATATGTTGAGCTTCTATTTTTTCATTAACTTTGGGATGCAGATGGGTTTTTTAGAGCTTCATAAAATTTTTTGAAGCCCCCATTTCCTCTGCCTGCATAACTTCTATTCTCTGTTTGCATTGCTGGAATAATGATGTCTGCAGTAGGTTTACAATCACAATTCCATGATATGGTCGTGCACATTCTTGAACTTAGGTACTCTCTTGACAATATTGGCTCTGGATCGCATGTGCACGTCAGTTTGTCGGAGAATGGAGAGAATGTATTTATGGGGTCTGCGGGAACAAGTAGATATGGCATATCCAAGATTGGGGAGGAGTTTATGGCTGGGGTACTGAATCACCTTCCTTCAATATTAGCCTTCACAGCACCACTTCCAAATAGGTTATTACTTTTCATTTTATACTCTCGGATGAAGATACTTCTTATGCTCCGTTTATAGTCTTGTTTAAAATAAGCTCTTAAACATAAAACCTGCACATGGTCAAAACAACTAGTTACCTGGTGCATGCTTGCATTTTTTCACCTCAAATGACGAAGCTTTTACTAGCTTCAAATTAGGAGCTGCATGACATTATAATGAATTGTCCAGAATGAAACTTTTTTAGCCTCCTTACCGGAGATCGAAATAGGGAAATCAATCTTAAATATGAATATTATAATGTTGAAATGTAAGTGCTATGGCTGTGCTTTGCTTTTATTTGTCATATGCTAATGAAACCAATAATTCATCTTCTGGCTTCTGCTCAAATTACTTCTTAATTATCAAATGTTGATGATCCTCTATAGTTATGATCGTATCCAACCAAATACATGGAGTGGAGCATATCAGTGCTGGGGAATGGAAAATAGAGAAGCTCCTATTAGAGCAGCTTGTCCACCAGGAACCGCACACGGCTCTATAAGCAATTTTGAGATAAAAGCATTTGATGGCTGTGCAAATCCTTATCTTGGCCTGGCTTCCATAATGGCGGCTGGAATTGATGGTTTGCGCACACATGCTACTCTTCCCGAACCAATAGGTATGAGAATTCATATGCTATCTTGATTACTGGTGAAATTAGTACATTATATTTACACTCAAACCCTCAACATTGTTGCGAAAATGTTGATCTACAGCGGCTTTCTTTACAACAACTTGCGTTGTACACTTGATGATTGGTATTAAATATTGAGACATCTTCTGTGATCCTCCTTGGCATCAGACTAGATCTATAGGTGACCTGATTTTGTAGCAGTCTATCACCTAACTAACATGCATTTGTTGCAACATTCAATTTTGAAAATCTCATGCTTACTGTGATGATGTGTTGGGCTTTTTCGAAAAAATAGAGCACAATTGATCATAAAATGTGTAATCTGGTTATATTTATTGATGTGTCCTGAATGAATGCAGTGCCAACTGCCAAGCGAAGCCTTCTTCTACCTTCCATACTCGTAATAGTACTCCAAAATTTATAATTTCCTAAGAGATTTGATTTCTGTCCACAGATGACAATCCTGACAACATTAAAGACAAAGTGCTACGGCTACCAGCCTCGCTTTCAGAATCTGTCGAAGCCCTGGAAAAAGATGCAGTGCTCAGGAAGTTCATAGGCGAAAACCTTTTTGTTGCCATCAAAGGTGTTAGAAAGGTATTGATCACCCATTCCCCTCTGTGATTTAACCACATAAGCACAATTTGGCATTTGCTGTGCAACAATCACTAGCCTTAGCCTAGCCTAGCCTACCCTACCCTTCCATTGTTTAGTAGTCCGTTCGAGTAGAGCAGAACAAACACCCGCTACCGCTAGGCAACACTAATAATAGCTCTGGGGAAAAGCACTCTTTCCTAACCTAAAATAAATTCATTAATGTTCCATTCTAAAATTCTTAGATTCATTCTTCGTCCCAAGTATTCTTGATTAAGTTGATGACTTTACAATGTTTAGGTGTGTGTGGTCATATTTTGTAATATTTAATTTTAGTTCTTTATTTATTTTTTTTATTTTTAAAATCGAACGTGTGCATTGGATATGATATGTTGGATGAAAAAGTATTCTTTTGCCGTATAATTAATTCTTTGAAGGAAATATGTTGCATATGTGACACAACCATCCTTCCTGATGACAGATGCATTTTACACACTATTATTTCATTCCTTTCTCACACTAATAATCAATTATGAGAGAGTCTATAGTAATATAATGTAATGTAACGTGTTCGATTGATGATATTTGCAGGGTGAAATTAAGTACTATGCAGACAATCAGGATGCCTGGAAGAATCTCATTTTCAATTATTGACTCTGCCCATCTCCTTTTCAAGATCAATTTGGCTACAGGTTTTTCTCTCCGACTCCTGAATTGTCACGATTTCATTTGTCTGATTTAAACCTTATTTTCTTTTGGTAAATTCCGGCTTCAATGAAATGAGACGTAATGTTCGCTGTCAAGATAAATCACACTAGGGAAGTTGTGTGTGACAACAAAATCAATAAAAGGTATGCCCATTCAAGTCCACCAACTCGACCGCCTCTTTATTTTATTTTCCTTAGACACCAGTTGGATTCCTCTATCAATTATTTACAAAGCGGGGTTTGGTATCCTTTTAATACTGTATAACAATCAGCAGCGTTCTGATTTTATTTAATCTGTTTGATCAATTTTATTAGCAATTCAACTGTATATTTTAATCCAAGGTATTTTAGGTATTTTTAAAAAATAATTGAATGGTAATTAATTTTTTAAACAATTAATTATATTAACTAGATACCTTATATTTTGAAAATATTAATCTATATAAAATTTAGAAACGTCTGTAATTAAATACTATCCAAATCATACACATTCAAAAATATAATAATGTATAGATCTGTCACTTATACTATTATCGTAACATAATTATAATATCTTATGGTAAATTACACGTAGTATATATTAACTTGAAATAATATTCATTATATAATAGAGATATGATGCAATATTTTTAGGGAGAGTTGATTTTTAGTCACTATCAGTGGTGTTGGATTTAAATTTAGTCCCTATTACTAAAAAAATTGACCTACACTCCCTCATTTTTAATATTGATTTAATTTCAGTATCTATTTTTTATTTTTCCATTTGTCAGCCTAGTATATATTTGATGTATCTTTAAAATATATTCAAATACTCTTAAAATTATTTTATATACTTATAATACATCCCACTCTACATATGCTACATTTCGCTCTACCTAAGTTGTTCCACCGGTATACTTCTGTTTACCTTATGTATACTTTTGTTTGTGTATTTTAAAATAATTAAAATAAAGATAAAAAAACAAAAATTACAATTACAATCACATTTTATTGTGGAGTAAGACGGAAAATTATACCTCTTTTTCGTGCTAAGATTGTAAATAAATCAAATAATTTTGTTCGATTCGATATTTGATTCAAATTTATGACTCGAATTTGAATAGATATATTTTATTCGATTCAAATATGAATGGAATACAGATAAAAATTTTAATATTTGATTCCATATTCGTAAATATTCAATTCAATAATAAAAACAAATACGCAGTATAAAATGTAGCATACATATATGTATTTCTCAAAATAAATAAAAACTAAATTTATTAAGTATAATAATTTTAAAATTTTATATAAATAAATAAACAATATAATTAAAATTATATCAAGATATTTATATTTATGTTAAAGTACGAAAATCTTTTATGTGTCAATATAAAATTTTGTATTTTATTATCAAGTTGTCTTAATATTATTGTTATATTTTTAATTTAAAAATCTAAATCGAATAGCTTTGAATCGAATCGGATAAGACAAAAATGAATCACATCTTAAATTAAATATTTAATATTGAAATCAAATTGAATACTCGGATCAAATTGAGTAATTTAAAAATTATTTAGAATCGAATAAAGATATCATTTTAAGATTCGAAACAAATCGAATATCGAATCAAATAGTAGAATATTTTCACGATTCAATAGAATATTGCAATATGTATGTTTGTTCATAGTTGTGTGTTCATTTCCATTTTGGTAATGTATGCCTACATTATTAAAGTTGGATTTTATACTTTGGCATATTTTAGAGTAAATAATACTGCAATATTTAAATTTTATATGTGGAATTAATGATCTTAGTAACTTTATTCGGAATTGTCTAAGTTTTTTAGATTAAATTGGAGGAAGTAAATAGAGTACATGTTGTTTATTTCTGTCTATAGGTTATGGTAGTTTTTCAATGTTATTTCTTAATAATTCTGCGAATAGTTAGAGTTATGCATGGAGTTTTTATAAATTCGCCGAAAGTATAATGGGTTGCTCACGATATACTTCCAATAAGAGTATATATACCGGCATAATATTCATGAAAATACCCCTAATTAAAATGTATACGCTCATACATGTTTGTCAATATAATCATAAAAGGTGTGTTTCTTTATATTATTCCTATATTTCTGTTGAGCTACGTAGATGACCTTACATATACCTGGACGCAGCTCATCTCTGGCTCATGGTGGGAGATGATCCTGAATTCATAAGATGACGCAATCAAAGTATTACGCTAGATTACGATCTTTTGGTCTAAATGTTTGTCTAGTGTTACGCTCATGCAAACCTGACGGTTCATCTTTAAAGGGGCTTAGGTAACGACTACAATGATGTGAAAACTTATCACGGTAAAATTGCTGCCTGAATTTTAAAAAGTCCACCATCTGAAGCGTAGATTTCATTTTGTAATTTGTCAATATAATCATAAAAGGTGTGTTTCTTTATATTATTCCTATATTTCTGTTGAGCTACGTAGATGACCTTACATATACCTGGACGCAGCTCATCTCTGGCTCATGGTGAGAGATGATCCTTAATCCATAAGATGACGCCATCAAAGTAATACGCTAGATTATGATCTTTTGGTCTAAATGTTTGTCTAGTGTTACGCTCATGAAAACCTGACGGTTCATCTTTAAAGGGGCTTAGGTAATGACTACAATGATGTGAAAACTTATCACGGTAAAATTGCTGCCTGAATTTTAAAAAGTCCACCATTTGAAGCGTAGATTTCATTTCGTAATTTGTATTTGTATGTAACGTTTTTAAGCGGAATTGATGATCCCAGTTACTTTTTTTGGAACTGTCTCGGTTGTTGGGATTGAATTGGAAGAAATAAACTGAGTATTGTAGTTCATATTTGTCTGTAGGTTACGGTGGTTCTCCTATTTTATTTCCTATGCTCATGTGAATAGTTAGAATTGTTCTTGGAGTTTTTATAAATTCGATTAAATATGACGGAATGCTCATGATGTATTTCCAATAAAAACATATATACCGGCATAATACGCATGAAAATACCCCCAAATAAAATATATATGCTCATACATATTGTCAATGTACTCATGAAGCGTGCGTTCGTTTATGATTGTTCCACAATCCAAATTTCAATGACACACACTGCTTTGAGGTGATAAATTAATATTTTATGATTGTTTAACTTTATCCATACCTAAAGCTAAGTTAGATGATGTAATGGACTTAAAAGATAAGTATTAATAGTCTTACAATTTCGACGGAAATCTCATGGAAAGTGTGGCATGATTTGTTGAATATATACATAATGCTTGAACTTTTCAACAAAGTATAATAGAGGAAAAAAAAAAAGGTGTGTCCTCATCGAGTTCCTTGCCACTTAAACAAATGCAGATTCCAAGTTCAAACTAAGCACAACCTGCCTAAGTTCAGGGTTTCCGCATACCTGGACAAGCAATGACCTCTGTTCGGTCTCTGGATCAAACTGCTTAGTCACCCGATATCCTGCAGGCCTACCAATATTAACTGCCACAGCACAGAATCAGTTTCTGGAAGACTAAATTGAAGGATCAAGATGTTTTGCAATAATTATTTTAAATTTAACGCAATCAAAACAGTTGTCCCAATACTTTATGCTTCATCTTTTCTTCCATCCAAGGTGATTTCCATTCCACTATCTGATTTACAAACATTTTCATTCTAAATTACTCACCGAATTTCTTGAGGAAAACTTTGCGCTTATGCGGCCGCGCCTCCCGAGCAGCACGCTTCGCTAGTTTCATTTGGGGACGCTTCCCCTGCGTGTGCGCCAAATAAGAGCCTTCGTTTTTGTGCAGCGTAAAGTAAATCTTACACTCGTAACTACATCGCATAAATATATAGATATATATAGTTCTGAGTAAGTGAATTCCCAAATTCCGTCTGGAAAACGATACAAAAGGATTATTAACTAGGCTTCATTTACCTGCCGAGATGATTGCGCGTGAAATATGGATCCTTGGACAAATCAATAGTCTAAAGTGAGAACCTACGTAGGCGCTTGTGGCGATGCATCACCACATTCTGAGCAGGAGGAGCGGCTTCGGGGCGCCAGACGTCCAAAATAACCGCGAAATGAAAATGAGGAGCATTTTAAAAAAATGCCTAAAGTCCAAGGGTGATTAGAACTCTTAATATTTTAAAGGACGAAAATTAATTTTGATCTAAATATAATCAAAATTTATTAATTTTGGTCTCAATATAAATTTTTTTTATCAATTTTAGTCTTATTATAAACAATTTCAATCAATTTTGCTCCATCATTAAAAAAATTAACGAAAATTGTTTACGTTGATGCAACAGAGTTAGACGTGGCAGCTCACCGGGAAACTAAACAGTCATATTGTCACACGCCCATGTATATTTCCATCTATAATTATACACGACTATGTTATCACAAGGGCATATTTACTTCTACACGGCCGTGCACATTTCTGTTTTGGTCTAAAATTTATTTATTTGTTATATTTTTAAAAAAAATATATTTTGAATTTAGAATAATTTATATAGTTAAAATTGAAAAAATCGATAGTAATCCTAATATAGTTCAAATGTATCAATTTTAATTCAAATATAAAAATTTATAAGATATGTTCTTTTGAAAGATTTTACTTAAAATATTTATTAGAATTTTTCCTCTTACAAACATCTAATTACACAACTATTTTTTATTTTTTTATATTATATTAAAATTTTATTTTATATTTCAATACAATTTCAAATAAACATATATAATTGTATTGATATATGAAATTAATTTTTAATACTATAATATATAAAAATAAAAAAATAGTTGTGTAATTGAATATTTTTAAAAAGAATTTTTCTTGGTAAATAATAAAATTTTAGACAAGATTTTTCAAAAGAACATACTCAATAAATTTTTATATTTGAACTAAGATTGATACATTTTAATTATATAAGGATTACAATTGAATTTTTTCCATTTTAACTATATCAACAATTCTAAATTTAAAAAAAGTTATAACAAAACAAAAAATTAGACCAAAACAAAAAATACACGGACATGTAGAATTATACATGACCAAATATAATTGTATATTGAAATATAAATGGTCATGTGACAACATGATCGTGTATAATTGTACATGGTCGTGTAATTTCTAGGTCAGCTATCACGTCAACTCTGTTATGTCCATATCAACAATTTCCGTTAGTTTTTTAACAGTGAGACCAAAATTGATTGAAATTGTTAATAATGGGACCACAATCGATTGAAATTATTGATAATATGACTAAAATTGGTGAGTTTCTTTATATTAGAATAAATT